TTATGGTGTCTTGATGTAGATATGGTGTCTTTATTTGGTTGTGATGTCTTGATTTGGTTGTGGTGTCTTGATTTGGTTATGGTGTCTTGATTTGGTTGTGATGTCTTGATTTGGTTATGGTGTCTTGATTTGGTTATGGTGTCTTGATTTAGTTGTGATGTCTTGATTTAGTTATGGTGTCTTGATTTATTTGTGATGTCTTGATTTGGTTGTGATGTCTTGATTTGGTTGTGGTGTCTTGATTTGGTTATGGTGTCTTGATTTAGTTGTGATGTCTTGATTTGGTTGTGATGTATTGACTTGGTTGTGGTGTCTTGATTTAGTTATTGTGTCTTGATTTGGTTATGGTGTCTTGATGTAGATATGGTGTCTTTATTTGGTTGTGAATCTTGATTTGGTTGTGGTGTCTTGATTTGGTTATGGTGTCTTGATTTAGTTGTGATGTCTTGATTTGGTTGTGATGTATTGACTTGGTTGTGGTGTCTTGATTTAGTTATTGTGTCTTGATTTGGTTATGGTGTCTTGATGTAGATATGGTGTCTTGATCTGGTTGTGGTGTCTTGATTTGGTTATGGTGTCTTGATTTGGTTGTGATGTTTTGATTTGGTTGTGATGTCTTGATTTAGTTATGGTGTCTTGATTTATTTGTGATGTCTTGATTTGGTTGTGATGTCTTGATTTGGTTATGGTGTCTTGATTTAGTTGTGATGTCTTGATTTGGTTGTGATGTATTGACTTGGTTGTGGTGTCTTGATTTAGTTATTGTGTCTTGATTTGGTTATGGTGTCTTGATGTAGATATGGTGTCTTTATTTGGTTGTGATGTCTTGATTTGGTTGTGGTGTCTTGATTTGGTTATGGTGTCTTGATTTAGTTGTGATGTCTTGATTTAGTTATTGTGTCTTGATTTGGTTATGGTGTCTTGATTTAGTTGTGATGTCTTGATTTAGTTATTGTGTCTTGATTTGGTTATGGTGTCTTGATGTAGATATGGTGTCTTTATTTGGTTGTGGTGTCTTGATTTGGTTATGGTGTCTTGATGTAGATATGGTGTCTTGATTTAGTTGTGATGTCTTGATTTGGTTGTGATGTCTTGATTTAGTTATTGTGTCTTGATTTGGTTTATGGTGTCTTGATGTAGATATGGTGTCTTTATTTGGTTGTGATGTCTTGATTTGGTTGTGATGTATTGACTTGGTTGTGATGTCTTGATTTGGTGTTGATGTCTTGATTTGGTTGTGATGTCTTGATTTGGTTATGGTGTCTTGATTTAGTTGTGATGTCTTGATTTGGTTGTGATGTTTTGATTTGGTTGTGGTGTCTTGATTTGGTGTTGATGTCTTGATTTGGTTGTGATGTATTGACTTGGTTGTGGTGTCTTGATTTAGTTATTGTGTCTTGATTTAGTTATTGTGTCTTGATTTGGTTATGATGTCTTGATTTGGTTGTGATGTCTTGATGTAGTTATGGAGTCTTGATTTGGTGGTGATGTCTTGATTTGGTTATGTGTCTTGATTTGGTTGTGATGTCCTGATTTGGTTGTGATGTCTTGATGTAGTTATGGTGTCTTGATTTGGTTATGTGTCTTGATTTGGTTGTGATGTCCTGATTTGGTTGTGATGTCTTGATGTAGTTATGGTGTCTTTATTTGGTTGTGATGTATTGACTTGGATGTGGGGGCTTGATTTAGTTATTGTGTCTTGATTTGGTTATGATGTGTTGATTTATTTTTGGTGTCTTGATTTGGTTGTTATGTCTTGATTTGTTTGTGATGTTTGGTTGGTTGACTTTGTTGATGGTTATTTTCTGCAGCAATTGTTTTCTTAAAACTCCTGTGAGGTAAGAGGTCAAACTTTGTCTCCAGGGGATGCTTAGTGTGACACAAAGGTTTTTAGTTGCAAGGTGTTAAGCTCTCAGGTTCACAGTCATTTTGTCTAAAAGTGGAAATCATCCTTTGTAGTTAGCATTTAAAATCAAATGTCATTATATATAATGAGGTAAAATAAGAGTATAAAGAAGTTTCTTAAACATGTTTGCACGATTGTTATCCTAATTTACCATTCACACATTTACGCCATCATAAGAATTGTTTTGTATCCCAGCTCCATTGGTTGCCTGATAAATCATTCAACAAAAATAGCTATTGTAGCTTTTTTTTTAACATTTTATCATACTTAGGGTATTCTAAAAACTATCCCTTCATCCAGTGTATCCTCTGGAGTAACTAGGGTTCTTCTTAAAAGCAGGAGATATGGTGACTACACACCATCTTTATATGACTAAAATACATAAAAAAAACCTACAACAGGCTGTATGGCCAATATACGAATAGACTATATGAAGTATATTTAATATCTAAAAACTCAAGGTTATATATATATATATATATATATATCGATACTGTTTTTTAGTTCATTAATATTTCACAACTGATGTCAAGACAATGCTTTAATTTTTTAGAATGAAATAGAAACAATGTCATAGGTGACAATATTGTTGAAAGTAGCGGGTTAACTCTGAGTGTCATCATATAAATCATATGTAAGATAGAAAATATGAGACAAAGTGTATTAGGAATAACTATAAAATGTTTAATTTTATATATATATTAAAGAATACAATTATATTGTGTCTTGTTAAGTCTTAATCTATTGTTTGTGGCCACCTCCTTCCACATACACATCCATAGGGCCCCATTGTACCAGGTCGCCCTGAAATCCTGGCTGCACTAGTTTCCTGTTAGGGGCTGGTGACAGCATAGGGTCATATGAAAAGTCAAATAACTTGCTTTTATGTTGAGATAACAGTCTAAAGAAGATACAAATGACATATTTTAATGTTTGGTGTCCTTACTTAAAAATGACAGACTTTGATATCATACCTTTTGAATTTTTGTTTCAATTTCCGCCTAAACTACATGCGTGTTTAAGTGTGAAAAATTCAAAAAGGTATTGATAAAAACTTTGCATAATTGTAACTAATAACTATCTGTGAACAGCCTGTCCAAATTTAGTGAAATTCTGGTTCTGATTCCCAGAGATACATGTGATAAGGCTAGAGCTGTCCCTTTTGGAGAAGCCCTAATTTGACCTATTTTCGTTTTTTGGTAAGTTGCATAAAACATCCCAAAAATGTTATTTTGCAGTAAAATATTTTCATACAACCATCCGTTTCATAAACTAGACATGTTCAAGTTATGAAAAAATATGGTCGTGCTTTGTTCTACCTCGGGTAGGGGTCTCTCAACTTTTAGGGGCCCAAGTTCCTCTACTAACAGCGAGAATCCCCAAACGGTGATGTACAGTGAGCATGTGAACAGTGAATGCAGCATGACTGACAGAAGCCCGACATCTCGTTACAGACACCAGAACATGTTTTCACAAACATCAACATGTGATGTTAGCTGCTGCATGCGATTGTGACCTCTTAATCATCTCCACACAACCCTGTGTGTCAGCGTACATGCAGGACTGCTTGACTCGGATCAAAGATTCTGTTCATTCATGAAGCCGGTCTCAATAAAGCACAATATTATTATTGATCAACCTTTGCACCTCACCATATATTCATTGCAGTGACTAAACACACAATCTGTCCATCATGAAGTGCAACCACGTCCACCGCTCATGCTGTAGGTCAGGGGGTTCCTAAACCACACACACTTAGACATAATCAAACAGCCCTGAGAGACAGCACAGTTACTCTCCAGTCGAGTGACCATCTCATCTTCTTTATAAATCTTTTCTACATGTGTTTGATAACTGAGTGATCGACACAATAAATGTGGGAATAACAAGCAGCAACCTACGGTGTTGAAAAATGAAGCCGATGCTCAAGTGTAAAAATCCTGCAGTTCCTCGAGTGTCCACCAGAGTCTGGCTGCAGAAGCACAGGAAGTCACATACACACCCATTCTAAAAAGACTCTCTATAGAGAGATTAACATGTTTACAGCCTGGTTCAAAAAAACAAATAGGTGTGATTAGCTCATGTCTCGATGGACACACTGTACGGGGGGTGAATGTTTTGATGACTCATCAGTTTTGATTTGATGAAGGATAAGAGTTATTCACAATAAGGCGTGTAGCTGACCTGATTGACAGGTGGGCGTGGTGTAACAGTTTGTCAGGAGGTTTAAAACCCGCCTCATCTCCAGCTCTCAGCCTGTCATTAGGCTGACTGAAAGTTAGACTGAGACAGCATTTCCAGCATGGAGACCGCAGTCGATGGGACTCCAGCGCCCCCTGCAGGAACAGACGAGTGACATCACCTGTCCTTTAATATTTACAGTCTGTGTTATAGGTTTCTATCTCTACTGATCGAACATAGATCTAAGAAAGATATCGGCTGATATATGGGTAACAGATTTTTTCCCCCTCCCCAACATTGAGATCTCTATCAGTCGGGCCTATTTATATATTTTATTTTTTGAAGTGTTCAGATGTTAAAGTGTTTGAATTCGATGAACATGTGTGATGCAAATAATCGTGATCTCAGATCTGTTTCTGCCATAATGGAGCAGCTATAATATTCTTATTCCTGCACCCTCAGGAGTGAGCATTTTCTCCGTATAGGTCACATTTTTATTTGCATCTCTGCAGGGGCTTCTTTACAAATTTGTTGGGGTTAATACATAAATGAGGGTGTAACAAATGTTTCTTGTCATGTGTGTTCAGATCAATAAAATATCTATACATGACATTTATTGGTTTGTTGTTGTTGTTGTTGTTGTTGTAGACGACTTGTCACGACTGCCTCCAAATGAATGCAGCCTATAAAACATCATGACCCGGTTCTGCTCACCTGCAGGTAACCTCACCTTTCTCTACATGCTGCTAGGTTAGCTGCTAGCCTTTAGCTCACTGATTCCGTGCTAGCAGAGATGAGTCGGGACTTTCTGGCCAGGGGAGAAAGGATCAAGGACTTGGAAGGATGTCAATGAATGTGAAGGTGAGCCAGTTAAACAAACACACAGGATGTGGTTTGGTAGAGGAGACATTACCCATGTCTGCAGCGTCCATCCCGTAGCTGACTCCGACGACCGTGTCCCCATCATCGGATGCTGCGGCCACAGATAGCGGGCTCCAGTCCCTGGCCTCCGACAGCCCGACCGCTCCCTCGGCTGCTGCTTCCATTCAGCCTCCCGGAGGAAAAAATACAGGCAAGACCCACGGTGAAGGCACAAGCCCCGAGTGAGGAAGGAGGGATGTGATGGTATCGATGAAATCAAACGGAAGAATATGTGATAGTTATCCGTAAAAGTCCCTTCATCTGTGCGATGTATCCTCACGACGGCGGCGCACAGTCCGCCCCGCTCAGGTCGACTACTGCTGCTGCTTCTTCTGTGCCGCTGCTGCTGCCGCCTGCTTTTTATGCCGGAAAGTGTGGCTCCCTCTGCAGGACGCGGAGGAACTGCAGGCTGTGAATCACATAACATGCAGAGGTCAACTTCAATTGATGCCGTCTGAGTGGTTCTTACATGAACATGGATTCGGAGTCAGTCTGGTGAGTCAACACCACTTTTCTTTTAATGTTTTACTTCATTTGTGCTTTAAAAACGTGAACATTTATAAACAGAAGAACTTTTAAGGCAAGGCAAGTTTATTTATGTCGCACATTTCAACAACAAGGCAATTCAAAGTGCTTCACACAAGACATCAAAAGCATCATGACAGAGGAAAGAAAAGAAACATTAAAATACAACATTTAAAAATCACTGAAATTATTCAATCTGAAAATATGTTCAAATGAAAATAATTCAAATGAAATTAATTGAAAAAAATAAAGTAAAAATATAAAAAGTGCTTAAAGTTACAGTGCAGAGTTAAAGTTTGAAATCTTATTAAAGCTGTTTAATGAAAGGCAGCTGTAAACAGGTGTGTCTTCAACCTGGATTTAAAAGAGCTGAGAGTTTCAGCAGACCTGCAGTTTTCTGGAGTTTGTTCCAGATATAAGGAGCATAGAAACTGAACACTGCTTCTCCGTGTTTGGTTTGACTCTGGGACAGAGAGCAGACCTGTCCCAGACGACCTGAGCGGTCTGGATGGTTCGTAATTAATCAGGAGGTCACTAATGTATTTTTTAAGCCAGAGAGTCAGTGCGATCAAAGATAAATGAAGTGGTCTTCACTCACATTATTTTTAATGGGGCCAGTGCTCTGCAGGGGTCCCTAACTTGCAGGAAGAATCTTTCTTTAGGGTCCCCATTGGAGCTGGATCTCTATCATTCTCTCTCTCTCTTTTAGCTGTGGCTCAGTGGTAAGGTCAGGGGTTAGATCCCCAGCTCCTACTGCCACATGTCCGATGTGACCTTGGGCAATACCATAGACTGTAAATAAGGTCACATATTCTGTAAAATCCACATCACCATCACACTCTCTCAGGAGGGAGAAAACTTTATTGACACACACAGGTAAAAAGGTTGTGACATCACATCACAACCTTTTTACCTGCTCTTTTGTAATGTTAACAGACAAAGAGTAAGGTATTTTACCTGCTTTTTGTAAAGTGTCTTGAGATAACACTTGTTATGAGTTGACGCTATACAAATAAAAATTGATTGATTAATGATTGATCACTTGACATATGCGCACTTCATATGAACGCATATCATTGGCTGCTGTCACTTGTCATTAACACCACATAGAACCGCCTTCTTTAAATTGAGAGCATACATATTTCCCTTTATGTCAACAAACCCCCACTTGATCTCACATTGTTATCATAAACAACAACAAAAATAAACATAGTGTTTTCCACCTTACATCGTGTGTTTTCACATGGTTCATCTCCAAACAGCTTAAACTTTGTAGCTGGTTTGGTCATTATAGAATAGAATAGAATAGAATGACTTTATTGATCCCAAACTGGAAAATTGTGGCGTTACAGCAGCAGGTTATCCAACACACAATATGAGTAAAAAACACAATATTAGCAAATAAACACAATATAATATTAAATACAAAGTAAATAAGCACTAAAATATCAAAACTAAGAATGGGAATATATACAACCAGGATTTAACTAAGCATTACTAGTCTTAAATAGGAAAGATTAAATGTAAATGTGCAAAAACAGAGTTGTAAATGGACAGTATTGACATAGGGAGATGTGCAATCAGTGATACATAAGTTAAAGTGCATGAGTGTAGACATATTATCAGCAGAAACTATTCAATATAACGGCGAGTATAGACAAATGAAGTGAACTTGAGTGAAGGGATAATTTGTAAATTTAACATGTGAAGGAAGGATGTCAATCCTTGAGGTTCATTACAAATTGTAAAGCTCTGACTCACCATTGTGAGTTGTACTCTCGGGTTGGATGGCCCGCTTTGGCGACCTGTAGGCTCATACACTGGTACAACCTAAGGCGATTCTTGGTCTGCTTCCTCTCTATCTGTGTGTTTTTATCATGCAGAGAAGTACTGGACAGTATTCTTTGCGTTCTCAGGCCCTCTTTATGCTCTCTGTCCCAAAACGCTCAGGCAGAAATTTTAAAAGGGCTTTTGGGTATTCTGCACCCTCAGCCTGGAATCTGTTGCAGAATGACTTAAAGCTCAAGGAGCTGGTGTCCTTAAATGTTTTTAAATCTAAAATGGAAGACATGGAAGCAGATTCTTTAGGATGTCGATGTTTTAGCTCGACTGTTTGAACAACTGACTCCCATATAAGTTCTATTTTAATCCAAATTTAGTGTTTTGTAAATTGTACTTTGTATATCCATCTGTAACTTTGTGTTTTTGCTGCTGTCTGTTTTGGCCAGGTCTCCCTTGAAAAAGAGGTTTTTAATCTCAATGGGACCAACCTGGTTAAATAAAGGTTAAATAAAAAAAATAAGAAATACATCTGCCACCATCTGTTCTGTTGGGCAACAGTCCAAACATATTTTTCCATCATTAACAGTGGACCTTACAAAATGATACTTTATGTTTACATCTCTGTCTGTTATAACAGGGTTCTTAGCCAATGCTATTGTTATCCTCATAAACCTTAGGAAGTACATACTGGTCTCCATCAAGTCCCTCTAATAGCTGTTTTTATCTCTGCTTTGTAAGGTGACCTTGAGAGTTTTGAGTTTTGGCACCTTTAAATAAAATGTATTATTATTATTATAAGATACAAACATTCTTGTGTAGTTGCAGCTAACGCCATATACTCTGCCTCACAGTCGGTTGCTTTTTAGTTTTCCATGAAATCATAGGACCCTTTCCGTTCAGACACAGTAACCTGTTGTACTATCAGCTGCCCAGTCTGCATCACTCAAGGCTTGTAGTCCAAGTTTCTCATTTTCACATTTTGTCTGTAACACAACTCTTTCTCACTTGTGCTTTTCAAGTATCTTAGCACATGTTTTATAGTAGTCCATTGTTCTTCTGTTGGTTGTAAGTAGTAGTAGTAATCATTTATTTATTTTATCAAAAACAAAAACATTTTGACTGAAAAGGTGTAGGCTGAAGCTTTACCTTATAACACCTACCCTTGTTACAAATCTCATTATTATTTTAGTTTGGTTAAAAAAAACAAAAAAAAAAACATATCAGAACAAAATTTGTTCCAAGAATTTCTTTCAAAACAAAACAAATGAAATACACAAAAAACAAAACAGAAGTCACACTCACAAAAAATAATCAAACCAACCTTTTATATTTGTTAAACACCATTTTTTTAAACAAAAATTAAATCTGGAAAGTGAACTACACATTCTTAATTCCAAATGCCTTCTGTAAAATGTTGAGACAGTTTACTTAAGACAAAATTCAAATCTGGTCTGGTACATGTAGTCAAATAATTAAGGCTCCCTACAGCCTCTCTGTGACATCACTCATTATCTCTGCATCATCAGTGTAGCTGAGTTTTTGTTCACAAGGTGTCTCTCTTTACAGTCTTTGCATGTCAAACCTTTCAAGTATCTTTTTTACATATTTATTCTGGGATATTTTCATATGTTTGTCACTCTGTTCAAAATCAATACAAAGACAATGTTTCAGTTTACCCAAGTCCTTCATCTTAAATCTGGCTGTGAACATGTCCTTCACATCTTTAAGAGCGTTTTCATCACTTGCAGCAATGATTTAATCGTCCACCCATATTAAAGTGATTACCTTCTCATTGTCAGTTTCTTTTGTGTAAACACAATGATCAGCAGGTGTGACGGGACATACGGCGCCCTCCTCAGTGTTGTGAGGTGTTGTTGCCCTCTGGTGTTGATTAAGAATACCTCAGCCTCTCCTCTGCGCTCTGCTGCTCCTTCACACTTTGTGCTTCTCGGCCTGGAAACTGTCTTCAAACGTTTTGAACTTTGTTATATCTTTTTTAATTTTTAATTTTTAATTTTTTATTAGGTGACGCAGAACAATACAAGACGAGTGAGGGACATGACGAGAGCAATAGTATGTAGGAGACAGGGGAGACACGACGATACAATGCACAGCATAGAGAGAGACAAAACAGGCAAGCAGGGAGTAATAATAATGTTTAGCAACTTTGTATGTTGAGGGTGTTGTGTGTGTGTGTGTGTGTGTGTGTGTGTGTGTGTGTGTGTGTGTGTGTGTGTGTGTGTGTGTGTGTGTGTGTGTGTGTGTGTGTGTGTGTGTGTGTGTATAATTCAAGTGTATGCTTGTATCTTTTTTCTTCCCTTTTTCCTTTTTTTTTTCCTTCCCTTCCCCTTTCTTTGTTATATCTGTGATGATATATGAAGTTGCACCTGTATCAACCATCAGACCTTTCATCTTGACACCACACCCTCGTTTGATGCCTGTGTGCCATCTTTGATCTGTAATGCACATTCCTTGTGGTTTTCCTCCTCTGAAATTTTTCACTCGCTGTCCCGCTGCTGTTTCCGTCTGCACATTGTGTCCCGATGTGTGGATGTGTTGCAATGAACCACTGTTTGTGGTGACACGTTCTTGCTTTGTGTCCTTTTTGACCACATCTGAAGCGTGTGTGTTGAGATGTCATGTCTGGCTTGATTCCCTGAGCTCAATTAGGAGCAACAATAATCACCTGTGCTGGCTGCAGCAATCAACCACAGGTGAATGAGATCCCCAAATCAGGTCTCCCATAAAGGGAAGGAGAGTTCATTGTTCAGTTTGCTCTCCGAAGGACAAGACCTGTTCCACCTTTCTTTGTCAAGTGTGTCCACATGTGAGTTATTGTTTGAGTAAATGAGTTTAGTGATTATGTTTGTTTATGATGCATATAGGCAGACTTGATTTGTTGTTTAACTGATACATCCTCTGTTTACTGAGCCTGTTTAGAATCATTGAACATTATTTAGTTAACAAGGCAAATCAATAATTGTCACATTTTGTCTCCGAAACAGGAAAAAC